CGCTGCCGCTGCTGCTGCTTCGGCTGCACCTGATGCCTCATCCGGCTGCCGGCTGCCGGCTGCCGTCTGCACAACCATCATGCCCACCTCGGTGATCTGCAATAGCATCGCCAAGGCCGCCAGCGCCGCATGTGCGGGCCACGTACTCCTTACTGTGCCACATACATGAATGCCTAATGCTACTGCGCATGCTGTCCGCACAGGCAGGTCTACCAATGCCTGCCAATCATGACTGCTCTGCCACATGTCCCAATTCACATGCGCATCATGGACTGCGCAAGGCAACAACAACAAAAACAACAACAACAACAACAACATGTACATACAATTGCATTGCCTGACGCACTGCTAACTACTGCTTCTGCTGCCTTCATCTACATATATGTAGGTGCAGACAGCGGGGCATGTGGATGTGCGCCTGCAGTATGCACAAGTTCCCACTGGCATCATACTGGTAAGAGTGGACAAACCTGATTCATGCGATACGTCACTTCCTGTCGCCAGGCCCAGGCCCTCACTTGGCGTTACTAAAAGGAAGAAAGCCATTGAAGACGGTGTGAATGCCAGACAAATTGCTATGCCTCGGCCAACAGCAACTGCCACAGCAACAACAACAACAACAACATCCTCATCAGCATCAGCATCCAGCCCGACTGTCATATTTCCACCAAAATCCCACCTCATTACCTCTGCTCACTATGTGACAATCATGCAAGGCATACCTCAGTTGCACTTAGTAGACATTCGGCACAACCATCCTCATGCGCAATGCAACCGACCAATCCATCTCTAATCATACAATGCCCATCTCCTCACTGCTTCACGCACCTGCCGTTGCCGCTGCCGCTGCCGCTGCCGCTGCTGCTGCTGCTGCTACTGCACCTGATGCCTCATCCGGCTGCCGGCTGCTGGCTGCCGTCGTCACATCCATCATGCCCACCTCGGTGATCTGCAATAGCATCGCCGAGGCCGCCAGCGCCGCATGTGCGGGCCACGTACTCCTTACTGTGCCACATACATGAATGCCTAATGCTACTGCGCATGCTGTCCGCACAGGCAGGTCTACCAATGCCTGCCAATCATGACTGCTCTGCCACATCTCCTAATTCACATGCGCATCATGGACTGCGCAAAGCAACAACAACAACAACAACAACAACAACAACTACATGTACATACAAATGCATTGCCTGACGCACTGCTAACTACTGCTTCTGCTGCCTTCATCTACATATATGTAGGTGCAGACAGCGGGGCATGTGGATGTGCGCCTGCAGTATGCACAAGTTCCCACTGGCATCATACTGGTAAGAGTGGACAAACCTGATTCATGCGATACGTCACTTCCTGTCGCCAGGCCCAGGCCCTCACTTGGCGTTACTAAAAGGAAGAAAGCCATTGAAGACGGTGTGAATGCCAGACAAATTGCTATGCCTCGGCCAACAGCAACTGCCACAGCAACAACAACAACAACAACATCCTCATCAGCATCAGCATCCAGCCCGACTGTCATATCTCCACCAAAATCCCACCTCATTACCTCTGCTCACTATGTGACAATCATGCAAGGCATACCTCAGTTGCACTTAGTAGACATTCGGCACAACCATCCTCATGCGCAATGCAACCGACCAATCCATCTCTAATCACACAATGCCCACGCACCTGACGTTGCCGCTGCCGCTGCCGCTGCCGCTGCCGCTGCTTCGGCTGCACCTGATGCCTCATCCGGCTGCCGTCTGCCGGCTGCCGTCTGCACAACCAACATGCCCACCTCGGTGATCTGCAATAGCATCGCCAAGGCCGCCAGCGCCGCATGTGCGGGCCACGTACTCCTTACTGTGCCACATACATGAATGCCTAATGCTACTGCGCATGCTGTCCGCACAGGCAGGTCTACCAATGCCTGCCAATCATGACTGCTCTGTCACGTGTCCCAATTCACATGCGCATCATGGACTGCGCAAAGCAACAACAACAACAACAACATGTACATACAATTGCATTGCCTGACGCACTGCTAACTACTGCTTCTGCTGCCTTCATCTACATATATGTAGGTGCAGACAGCGGGGCATGTGGATGTGCTCCTGCAGTATGCACACGTTCCCACTGGCATCATACTGATAAGAGTGGACAAACCTGATTCATGCGATACGTCACTTCCTGTCGCCAGGCCCAGGCCCTCACTTGGCGTTACTAAAAGGAAGAAAGCCATTGAAGACGGTGTGAATGCCAGACAAATTGCTATGCCTCGGCCAACAGCAACTGCCACAGGAACAACAACAACAACATCCTCATCAGCATCAGCATCCAGCCCGACTGTCATATTTCCACCACAATCCCACCTCATTACCTCTGCTCACTATGTGACAAACATGCAAGGCATACCTCAGTTGCACTTAGTAGACATTCGGCACAACCATCCTCATGCGCAATGCAACCGACCAATCCATCTCTAATCACACAATGCCCATCTCCTCACTGCTCCACGCACCTGCCGTTGCCGCTGCCGCTGCTGCTGCTTCGGCTGCACCTGATGCCTCATCTGGCTGCGGCTACCGTCTGCACATCCGACATGCCCACCTCGGTGATCTGCAATGGCATCGCCAAGGCCGCCAGCGCCGCATGTTCGTGCCACGTACTACTTACTGTGCCACATACATGAATGCCTAATGCTACTGCGCATGCTGTCCGCACAGGCAGGTCTACCAATGCCTGCCAATCAAGACTGCTCTGCCACATGTCCCAATTGACATGCGCATCATGGACAGCGCAAAGCAATAACAACAACAACATGTACATAAAATTGCATTGCCTGACGCACTGCTAACTACTGCTTCTGCTGCCTTCATCTACATATATGTAGGTGCAGACAGCGGGGCATGTGGATGTGCGCCTGCAGTATGCACAAGTTCCCACTGGCATCATACTGGTAAGAGTGGACAAACCTGATTCATGCGATACGTCACTTCCTGTCGCCAGGCCCAGGCCCTCACTTGGCGTTACTAAAAGGAAGAAAGCCATTGAAGACGGTGTGAATGCCAGACAAATTGCTATGCCTCGGCCAACAGCAACTGCCACAGCAACAACAACAACAACATCCTCATCAGCATCAGCATCCAGCCCAACTGTCATATATCCACCAAAATCCCACCTCGTTACCTCTTCTCACTATGTGACAATCATGCAAGGCATACCTCAGTTGCACTTAGTAGACATTCGGCACAACCATCCTCATGCGCAATGCAACCGACCAATCCATCTCTAATCACACAATGCCCATCTCCTCACTGCTCCACGCACCTGCCGTTGCCGCTGCCGCTGCCGCTGCCGCTGCTGCTGCTGCTGCTGCACCTGATGCCTCATCCGGCTGCCGGCTGCCGGCTGCCGTCTGCACAACCATCATGCCCACCTCGGTGATCTGCAATAGCATCGCCAAGGCCGCCAGCGCCGCATGTGCGTGCCACGTACTCCTTACTGTGCCACATACATGAATGCCTAATGCTACTGCGAATGCTGTCCGCACAGGCAGGTCTACCAATGCCTGCCAATCATGACTGCTCTGCCACATGTCCCATTTCACATGCGCATCATGGACTGCGCAAAGCAACAACAACAACAACAACAACAACAACATGTACATACAAATGCATTGCCTGAGGCACTGCTAACTACTGCTTCTGCTGCCTTCATCTACATATATGTAGGTGCAGACAGCGGGGCATGTGGATGTGCGCCTGCAGTATGCACAAGTTCCCACTGGCATCATACTGGTAAGAGTGGACAAACCTGATTCATGCGATACGTCACTTCCTGTCGCCAGGCCCAGGCCCTCACTTGGCGTTACTAAAAGGAAGAAAGCCATTGAAGACGGTGTGAATGCCAGACAAATTGCTATGCCTCGGCCAACAGCAACTGCCACAGCAACAACAACAACAACAACATCCTCATCAGCATCAGCATCCAGCCCGACTGTCATATTTCCACCACAATCCCACCTCATTACCTCTTCCCACTATGTGACAATCATGCAACGCATACCTCAGTTGCACTTAGTAGACATTCGGCACAACCATCCTCATGCGCAATGCAACCGACCAATCCATCTCTAATCACACAATGCCCATCTCCTCACTGATCCACGCACCTGCCGCTGCCGCTGCCGCTGCCGCTGCTGCTGCTGCTTCGGCTGCACCTGATGCCTCATCCGGCTGCCGGCTGCCGGCTGCACAACCATCATGCCCACCTCGGTGATCTGCAATAGCATCGCCAAGGCCGCCAGCGCCGCATGTGCGTGCCACGTACTACTTACTGTGCCACATACATGAATGCCTAATGCTACTGCGCATGCTGTACGCACAGGCAGGTCTACCAATGCCTGCCAATCATGACTGCTCTGCCACATGTCCCAATTCACATGCGCAGCATGGACTGCGCAAAGCAACAACAACAACATGTACATACAATTGCATTGCCTGACGCACTGCTAACTACTGCTTCTGCTGCCTTCATCTACATATATGTAGGTGCAGACAGCGGGGCATGTGGATGTGCGCCTGCAGTATGCACAAGTTCCCACTGGCATCATACTGGTAAGAGTGGACAAACCTGATTCATGCGATACGTCACTTCCTGTCGCCAGGCCCAGGCCCTCACTTGGCGTTACTAAAAGGAAGAAAGCCATTGAAGACGGTGTGAATGCCAGACAAATTGCTATGCCTCGGCCAACAGCAACTGCCACAGCAACAACAACAACAACATCCTCATCAGCATCAGCATCCAGCCCGACTGTCATATTTCCACCAAAATCCCACCTGATAACCTCTGCTCACTATGTGACAATCATGCAAGGCATACCTCAGTTGCACTTAGTAGACATTCGGCACAACCATCCTCATGCGCAATGCAACCGACCAATCCATCTCTAATCACACAATGCCCATCTCCTCACTGCTCCACGCACCTGCCGTTGCCGCTGCCGCTGCTGCTGCTTCGGCTGCACCTGATGCCTCATCTGGCTGCGGCTACCGTCTGCATATCCGACATGCCCACCTCGGTGATCTGCAATAGCATCGCCAAGGCCGCCAGCGCCGCATGGGCGTGCCACGTACTACTTACTGTGCCACATACATGAATGCCTAATGCTACTGCGCATGCTGTCCGCACAGGCAGGTCTACCAATGCCTGCCAATCATGATTGCTCTGCCACATGTCCCAATTCACATGCGCATCATGGACTGCGCAAAGCAAAAACAACAACAACAACAACAACAACAACATGTACATACAATTGCATTGCCTGACGCACTGCTAACTACTGCTTCTGCTGCCTTCATCTACATATATGTAGGTGCAGACAGCGGGGCATGTGGATGTGCGCCTGCAGTATGCACAAGTTCCCACTGGCATCATACTGATAAGAGTGGACAAACCTGATTCATGCGATACGTCACTTCCTGTCGCCAGGCCCAGGCCCTCACTTGGCGTTACTAAAAGGAAGAAAGCCATTGAAGACGGTGTGAATGCCAGACAAATTGCTATGCCTCGGCCAAAAGCAACTGCCACAGCAACAACAACAACAACAACATCCTCATCAGCATCAGCATCAGCATCCAGCCCGACTGTCATATTTCCACCAAAATCCCACCTCGTTACCTCTGCTCACTATGTGACAATCATGCAAGGCATACCTCAGTTGCACTTAGTAGACATTCGGCACAACCATCCTCATGCGCAATGCAACCGACCAATCCATCTCTAATCACACAATGCCCATCTCCTCACTGCTCCACGCACCTGACGCTGCCGCTGCCGCTGCTGCTGCTGCTGCTGCTGCTGCACCTGATGCCTAATCCGGCTGCCGGCTGCCGGCTGCACAACCATCATGCCCACCTCGGTGATCTGCAATAGCATCGCCAAGGCCGCCAGCGCCGCATGTGCGGGCCACGTACTACTTACTGTGCCACATACATGAATGCCTAATGCTACTGCGCATGCTGTCCGCACAGGCAGGTCTACCAATGCCTGCCAATCATGACTGCTCTGCCACATGTCCCAATTCACATGCGCATCATGCACTGCGCAATGCAAAAACAACAACAACAACAACAACAACAACAACATGTACATACAATTGCATTGCCTGACGCACTGCTAACTACTGCTTCTGCTGCCTTCATCTACATATATGTAGGTGCAGACAGCGGGGCATGTGGATGTGCGCCTGCAGTATGCACAAGTTCCCACTGGCATCATACTGGTAAGAGTGGACAAACCTGATTCATGCGATACGTCACTTCCTGTCGCCAGGCCCAGGCCCTCACTTGGCGTTACTAAAAGGAAGAAAGCCATTGAAGACGGTGTGAATGCCAGACAAATTGCTATGCCTCGGCCAACAGCAACTGCCACAGCAACAACAACAACAACA